GATTATTTTTAAAAATAAAAATAAAAATTGGAGCAGACGAGATACTCGGACTTGCCCGAGTAGTTCGGTTTGGGCAATGGCCGAGTACCTTGGCCTAATCGAGTTTTTAAACTATGCATGGTAGCAGAATCTCATTTCAATCAAAAGTATTTTCAAAATTGCTTTCCTTGATTTTGGTGGATATTTAGTCGATATGGCCGGTAGCTCACAGGAAGTAGACCTAGGGGTCCCCTTTCAATGGTCTCCGATTCAATGGAGCCCCGTATATCTATCGTTTCAGATTCAACTGATCCCGTTTTGTGAAAATCATAATGTAGAGCATGATTTTAAGACTCGGCCGAGATCACTCGGACTTAGGCCGAGAAACTCGGCCTCCCATGTCAAGGGTCTGCGGTTAGTACTGGCAGGCAGCTCACTGTCACAGGCATAACTAAAAATCGATTACCTGTTTGATATTAAAAAGTTGCCCACTAAATATATATATATTATGTTTTTTTTTCATTTGTTTTTAAAAAAATGAGCTGGACTCGGATGAGTTACTTGAACTCGCCCAAAAAAATCACTTTAGCCAAAACTCAAACATCTTCACCAAGTCAATTTTCTAAACACTGGTGTAGAGGTCTTTAACTAATTTTCTCTCGACGTATGGATTTTCCTGGTTTCAGTGGTTCCCTTTGATAAAAAAAACAAAAAAATTCCTGGTTTCAGGGTTATTGAGGTTCATGGCCTAGGTGATCTAAGGTTGAAAGCTAAAAGGCTTTGAGGCTGGGGTGTCTCTTATATCTAAAGATTCGGACCCTATATCAATCGATAATGGATTTACTTGTTGAAAGCTAAAAGGGTTTTAGGATGGGGTGTCTCTTGCATCTAAGATTCCGACCCTATATCAATTGATAATGGACTTACTTATACACAACGGCTTTGTAGCAGTGTGGATTAAGCAAAAACAAAATCTCTACCATTCTGTTTGCAATAATATAAAACGCATTATTAACAACTTGCTTTTCTCTTCAAATAGAAAGTGATCGCTGTCATGCCTCATGGAGATTGCATATGATTGCAGACAACTGTCGGAGCAAACTGCAGACAACTGTCGGAGCAAACTCTCCAATCGTATGTGTACAATTGCCCATATTTTTCTTGAGGTTATTTTCTTTCTTTTACTTCATGATTTGGCACAACTGTCTTATTATAGGGTTGTAAAATAACGAATTGTTTCTTCCTTAATTTATTAATGAAAAATGAGTAGGGGACCTTCTCCCC